GTGTACCGCAGTGCCTAAAAAAGCTCTATCACTAGTCCCGGTATTTGTTATTTATAAATATTAAAAATATGTTCCTGTACTTACTGGTAAAAATTATTGTGACATTACCAATCCATCTGGTAATCCACATGAGCTCAAAGACATTCGTACGAGATAGTGTAAATTTGCGTAATAATATAATTAAAAAATAATTATCCGGATTCGATTACTGATAAGTCATCGGGTGCTTGTGCTCGCGATGAGACTCATCCGCTCGTTGTCCACGTTCAGAGCGAGACGAAACTATGGACGCACAACGTATAATATTTTACATTATTATGTCTCAGGATTCAAGTTATAGACATTTGTACACTAGCGCATTCTTCTTTTCTTTACACGACGACTTCCTTTAACTTCGCACCAAGGTCGTCACTCACACGCCATCACTTGCCTATGTACCATTTCCATCCATGCGTGCTCCTGGCACACCCCCCAAAAAAACCCTATTTTTGAAAATTCATTCATGACCAATATACATTGTCTCGTTTGTCCAATATATCATGGTTCACGATTCATAGGTATTTTCATCTTGCTACTCTAACACAATCTTTGTTACCTACTCAAGTGAAATTTACATGATATTTGCAATTTACAAGCAATACAATTTACTAATAACAGTTTTTAATACTCTGTGTAATTTATTTCATTTAGGTTTCATGACATTCAGGAAACACAGCCAATAAGTCATGGTAATGAGATTCCTGATTCAATATTTTAATTCAAAAGGGTCTAAATCTAATACATAAATGTGTCAGACGAAACTATGATAAATTATAGATAGTTATAAATGAATAGACACGAAGAAGAGGCTTCATTGGACTTGGCTTGTAATCTTATCGGTTTGAACATTTTTTTTTTTTTATTGATAATTTATAGATAGCCCTCGGGCTACTTAATTTTTGTACTCAATACTTTGAGCGCAGATACCTGTAACAATGAACACGTGCCGTTTTTTGAAGGTTCGACACATTTTGTTGACTTAATAAGATACACAACGAACGTTAGCCATCGATCATATGGAAAATCTTACTAGAGACATAATTTAATTGATTTATTGTTATCTGTTTATTTTTAAGCCTTGCGCCGAGACGAGTACAAATCGTGTGTTTATTATAAGATGTGTTATAATAGCAGCAAGAACTAGTGTTAAAAAAAGAAAGAAAAAAAAACCATTGTGCGGAGATATTATACCTGCGGATGCCACAGCTGTTTGACAATTGTGTATTAAATAGTCGCTGAATAACTATGCTTGGGGACGAGAATTACCCCTTTTACGTGTACGTATATGTGTTGTTGACGACAGTTCATTAATCAAAGTACTCGGCATTCAGGTGGCTTATAACACACGGATGCCGTTGTGTGTGTGTGTGTG